TTAGGGTTGTCTGCTTTCCCCATTTTCACTCAAACTTATCATATGCACGTCCTTGGAATTAACGCTTTCATCGTCTGACTTTCCAGGGATTAATATTGTACCAAGAGACTCACTTGATTTAGAATGCACAGATGATGCAGTCTTGTTTGGTGAGGACAGTGGTAGAATGCAGTCTTCTGACCACCCTGAGCGACAGTGCATGTTTGGGATGCAGTTCTCTACCTGCAAGTGTAAAATGTCACTTCATGATTGACTTGCGTCATCGCCCAAATTGATGATCGAGAGTGAAGTAGTTGGACGTAGCGACTACTTCAACACCAATCCATGAAGTCACTAGCAATCAGGTTGAGCTTTGCTTATAGGTGTAGTCTAGGTGGTTGAAGTCCACGTGATTATCGTAATCAATGGTTAGACTTCGGACAATTTCTCGAAGTCGTTTGCAATGGAGTAAGCGCGCCCATTCCTCGCAACTCTGTCTTTATTTCCCTAATTTATGCATCCTTCCCGAATGGCATCTTTTTTATTACCACAGACCACTGATGTGGTATTCGACTATACAATTCCATCTCTCTGCTAATGGAGTATGGCAACTTAAAGTGATGTACATAAGCAACCGACTGATTAAAGAATGTTTCAGTGCAGGACTTGAGTATTTCACAAGATACTTTTCTGAATCGATTAACTTGCGTCGTGTCTGCGAACTTATCGCCAACAGAGTAGCACAAATTGTTTCGCCTAGTTCTGCACGCTCGCTTTATCCCACTAGTAGTAATTCGACAACCTAACTTATTTTAATTGTTGACGACCGTCACATAACTACATAGCTTCGTACTGCCACTCGTAATGTCAATTATTAGAAAAATACAAATCGCCATACCGAAAAAATACGAATGAAAAATTCCCATCATATTAAAACAATTATATGAACGAAGAATATTCTTTTCAATAATTTCTCATCAGGTTCTACAATTATAAATTAATAATCCATAAAAGAAGATTGGCCAAGTTTAAGGCAGAGTACATCAATTGAAGAAACTGTAATATGTGAATCAAGGGTTGTTTGTCATATAAAATAAGATCGAATCGTTAATGTTTTTGGGATGACTAATATGAAGTGAATTAAAATCGTAAGATAAATTATCAGAATATATATAGTTGACATGGGGGTGAGAGATAGAACAATGGGATTACAAATCGGAAATTACGTAATATGTAGAATTATATAAATTAGGTCAGATATAGTAGATAGGGGGTGGATGATAAATAAATTTCTATAAAAGGTTAGCAGGTGTGATAATAATAATAAAGATAATAATAAGAATAAGAATAATGACTGATAAGATGTGTAGATAAGACTAAGATATAGAAATGAACATTAATCAAATTAATGTCACCTTATTACAAAATTGATTATTAACAAGTTGACCCTGAAGTTGGCCAGGGTAAAAGGAGTGGCTGTACATATTTCTTTTGGATGCAGAGCTCTGGCTTTTTGATCCGAATAGCAATTGCCTCAGCCGTCTGCAGGATTCTCTGTCTGACAGAATTAGGTAGACTGCTATTTACACGATATATTACTGTGAAAGATTGCTCAATGTCGGCTCTATGTCCCGTCTGAACTAAATGGGCTAAAACAGAGCTGTTAACCGTTCTGACTACACCTTTGCTTAACCACACTGGAAGGTGTTCACGAGCCCGAGTATACAAATTCCTAGAACATCTGCCTATATAACTTGCTCCACAGGAGCAGTTGAATTGATAGATACAGAAAGAAGTGGCTAGTCTAGGCAATTTATCTTTCAATGTCGGCGTGATCATTGGGCGTGTGGAAAACATTAGTTGTAGTTTACCTGCATTAAAAGTCCTTTCGATTGATCTTCGTAGTTTCAATCTTACCATTTCACCAGGTGCGTCACCTCTGAATTGTAGACGTATATACAGAGGTTTTTTATTCACAATTAAACATTCTTTATGGTCTCTTTTATTAGTAATGTTTTTATTTATAAATTTCTCCGGGTATCCATTTTCTCTCAGGGTCCTATATAATGCTTTTGTTTCTTCCTCGACCGTATCTTCAGAGCATATGGTCTTAATTCTATAGTGTAATGTCTTAATTAGGTTCCTTTTGTACTGTAGAGGAACAAAACTAAGAAAGTTAGTATACTGACCCGTCCACGATTTTTTCTTGTTTATATTTCTCCTTAATGAACCGTCTTCTCTCTTTGTAAGGAGAACATCTAGAAAAGCGATCCTACCTCCATTTTCCTCCTCACATGTGAAGTTAATAGACGGATGGGCTGTATTGAATAGCTGTAGTGTCTGCATTAAGTCAGTATAGTCGTTACATAGGATGAACGTGTCGTCCATATATCGGCAATAAAGTGAAAACTTTTCAATCTGTCGTGTGAGTGGTCCGTTTTCTAGTTTCGCGAGAAAAATATCAGCCAATATGGGACCTAGGGGTGAACCCATCGCGACCCCATCTATTTGTCTGTAGATTTCACCATTGAATTTGAAATGTACATTCATAGTACATTTTAGTAGCAATTCTTTGATGGTCTCCACAGGGACTGTAGTTACTACTTCCTGTTCTCTAAGCTGTTCACAAATATATTCTACAGTCTCTCTGAGTGGTACATTTGTGAACAATGACGTTACGTCAAAGGACATCATCTTTAGACCTTTGGTGTTTATGTTTTTAATCTTCTCGACGAATTGGAATACATCCTTAACACTGTGCTTTACTAGTTGTTTGTGAAGTGGTTTTAAAACGGTTACTAACCACTTTGCTACCGTATGGTAAGGAGAATCGTACATGTCAGTATACTAACTTTCTTAGTTTTGTTCCTCTACAGTACAAAAGGAACCTAATTAAGACATTACACTATAGAATTAAGACCATATGCTCTGAAGATACGGTCGAGGAAGAAACAAAAGCATTATATAGGACCCTGAGAGAAAATGGATACCCGGAGAAATTTATAAATAAAAACATTACTAATAAAAGAGACCATAAAGAATGTTTAATTGTGAATAAAAAACCTCTGTATATACGTCTACAATTCAGAGGTGACGCACCTGGTGAAATGGTAAGATTGAAACTACGAAGATCAATCGAAAGGACTTTTAATGCAGGTAAACTACAACTAATGTTTTCCACACGCCCAATGATCACGCCGACATTGAAAGATAAATTGCCTAGACTAGCCACTTCTTTCTGTATCTATCAATTCAACTGCTCCTGTGGAGCAAGTTATATAGGCAGATGTTCTAGGAATTTGTATACTCGGGCTCGTGAACACCTTCCAGTGTGGTTAAGCAAAGGTGTAGTCAGAACGGTTAACAGCTCTGTTTTAGCCCATTTAGTTCAGACGGGACATAGAGCCGACATTGAGCAATCTTTCACAGTAATATATCGTGTAAATAGCAGTCTACCTAATTCTGTCAGACAGAGAATCCTGCAGACGGCTGAGGCAATTGCTATTCGGATCAAAAAGCCAGAGCTCTGCATCCAAAAGAAATATGTACAGCCACTCCTTTTACCCTGGCCAACTTCAGGGTCAACTTGTTAATAATCAATTTTGTAATAAGGTGACATTAATTTGATTAATGTTCATTTCTATATCTTAGTCTTATCTACACATCTTATCAGTCATTATTCTTATTATTATCTTTATTATTATTATCACACCTGCTAACCTTTTATAGAAATTTATTTATCATCCACCCCCTATCTACTATATCTGACCTAATTTATATAATTCTACATATTACGTAATTTCCGATTTGTAATCCCATTGTTCTATCTCTCACCCCCATGTCAACTATATATATTCTGATAATTTATCTTACGATTTTAATTCACTTCATATTAGTCATCCCAAAAACATTAACGATTCGATCTTATTTTATATGACAAACAACCCTTGATTCACATATTACAGTTTCTTCAATTGATGTACTCTGCCTTAAACTTGGCCAATCTTCTTTTATGGATTATTAATTTATAATTGTAGAACCTGATGAGAAATTATTGAAAAGAATATTCTTCGTTCATATAATTGTTTTAAAATACGAATGGTCGAGAACCTTGTATTAAGAATAGCTAGCTCGGCTATCTTCGAAACTGCTTTCCGTACAAACGATTTCTGAGTAAGAGTTCCAATCTACAATCAAGTTGTCTAAATAAATGCACAATTATTTCGTAACATAATTAGCACAGTGATTAAGACATTGACTCCGGACAGAGGATGTGTCTTTATAAAACGTTAAACATCATTTCACTGAGATTGTGAAGACGCAGTTATACATTTTCTTAAAGCTACAAGCAGGTAAAATGAGACCCACGTCTTTGGTGGTTATCATAATAAATTATACACCAAGTAAAAGCAAACACTTGTCTGAGGATGCGTATCAGTTAGTCAGTCACAACGTAGAACTTCGTACGTACGTACATCTGTTCAAGTTGCCATACCACATTAACACAGAGATGCAGTTGTCGATTCAAATCATCTAGTGGTAGAAGTAGTAAGAGTATGAGCATTATGTGAAAGATTAGGGTTTGAAGATGTTATTCAAGGAATATTATCCAATGAAATAAATCTGGAAAGAGAAAAAAGATAGAGACATGAAGAATTCAGAAGATTAGAATCTTGAAGAACACAAAGAGTGGACGCACCTCCGCCACTGCAAACGATTTTCATTCAGGGTCTCTAACCATCGATTGCTATCATCTCGCGAATCCCAAGATGCGTATGAAAGCCACTATTTGTTAACCAATGTTAGTATACGCGACATTCGGAACCAGGTCGAGATTTTAGTAAGAATAGATCGTCACCGCGATCGGTTTCCTCGTTCTTAATGTTTCAGCTAAAGCCTACATTACTTGGACAAGTGTATTTCACATTATTGAAGCTACTTTTCAGCCGAAAAAGAGTTGAACTCACTACTATATTAAGTGAAATCCAACATCGAGGGCCATAATTTAAGAAGACTAACAATAGCGATATGACAATCTATTTTGAACACGAAATTGAAAACAGTTCCAACCAGAAACGGACTCTAGTCACAGTGAATCTACCCTATTGAGTTTTTTAGTACTCGTGAATTAATCTAATGGTATAATCCGTACTGGCGACTGCATTCTTTTAGAGCTTCAGAGAAGCCACTACAAGCACTTATATCACTTTGAGACTGCGCGCATCGAATAAGTTCATCGACTTGGTATTGACATGGAGATTGATATTGATCTGAAGGTGGGGATGTCTGGACAGGTTGTGCAGGATTGCTACCAGATCCACTTGATAATGCTCCCGTGATAGCGTGACCAACAACTGAACCAATAGCCACACCCCCGGCTGTAGCTGCCATCTGTCCCATCAAACCTGGCTGTTGAGGTTGTGCTGGAGGCTGTGCAACGGCAGATGGTGGTGCACGAGCTGGCATAGTTGCACGTGGACGAGACGAAACTCTTGAAGGACTAGATCCCCTAGAGAATTGAAGGACATGGTCTAAAAGACAACTGATAAAGTTACCTCCGAGGCATTGTGTTCAAGATTTCTGGGAATTAAGTTGACGGACTTCCTGCCACAAGGTCACAGATGAGGACAAACAAATATCTACACCCTTCATCAATTTAAAGTATGTGCACGTGGCCTTGTATGCTTGCCAGATCCGCTCGCTTTTGTTAGTCATTAGATTGTATTTTATCACTCAAGGTAATGTTTGATTGTCAGATTCAGATTTATGTACTAAGGACAGAAAGCCTACATCCTATGTTATTCCTTTTCTGGTAAGCTTCGGTGAGTGTCTATTCTTCTCTTGAATGGGTCAATTGAAGATGCGGACACTACTGCTCCAGGTAACAGGTTCCAAGAATTGATGACTCCGTGTGAAAACCTGTATGCCATGGGTATTTTGTTCATTCTTGGCTTTTCTACTTCCCTGCTATTTCCTCTGAGATGTCCCGATCTAATGGGAAGAAAAAGAGAAGATATATTCGATCCAAAGTCATTTCGCATCATTCCGTTCATCGAAATTAGATCACCTCCCTGACACGATTTGCAATGATGACCAAAACCATCGATTACTATCGTAAATATTCCTAGAGTTTAAAAATGTTATAGCAGTCCTATGAGAGGGGATGGGGCACAACTGTCTTATTGTATGTTTGAAGAAATGTCAAGAAATTATTCTTCCTCCACCCCAGCTATTGTTTCTTCAGCGCCTTGATAGATACTGATCTAAGCATTCACATAACAGAAACTGTACGAATTAGGACTAATTGCTTTGGTGACCCAACACTATATGATACTGTACTTCTAATTGTCTAAAAAGAACTCGGTATCTTGAATTTTCGTCCGCCTCTAACAATTTTGACAGTGGTATGGCCAAAGTATTGAATGACGGGTAAAGTCAACCAATGTTGCACAGAATAATACCTGTTTCTCTACGCAACATGCGGTCCATATACCACCTTCATACTCTCTATTTCCCCTGCTATTCTGTTAGCATACCTATATTGTTTCAGTCCTGGTTAGGTGAATGGTTTCTAAAATACCGTTGAGCAATGTCACTAAGACTGCTTTATGTGGTCTAACTGTCAAAAGTGAACATATTCTGCGTCTCTCGGGATACTTAAATCTTTAGTTATCTGCTAAATAAACCAACCCCATTGTAGATGAACATCTTAGTCGAAGGTAGTTGGAATTTACATGATCATGCAATGCCGGTTTTCAAGAGTTTCAAAAATAAAGTTTGGAAGACAAACGAAGAGAAATATGGCAACGACAGTAAGGAACAACCCATCCAAATGTAGGAACGGGCAAGTGGAAGTGAGACTATAGATATGACTATTCGAAAAATAAGAGTTGCACATCACAGACCAAGTCGGGGCATGGACATCATGCTTAAACGAGATAGTTAAGACAGAAGTGTTTGTCAATAGCAAAGTATGATGTTGATAAAGCCATTTGATTTAAGAAGCTATTAACCAGTACAATACAATACCTCAAAAAATTTCGGCCTCCGTAGATAGGACCTTAATAGTATAGAGCCGACAGAGTGGAGTATTACTTCACCCACGGGGCAAATTTAGTAGTAAACTAGGGGTAGTGTACAATGCATTTCGTTTATTCAGACTCTCCATTTCATACCTTAAATTTCATCTTATCACTGTTACTTATGACTCTCCCAAAATTGCGCTACAATCTACTCGTTTGAACATAGGATGTAGACATGACTACTGCAAAGCCATTCACTGTATAGGCTGTTTATGGCATGAGCGACAGGAAGGTAAAAAATGCATTGGCATCCTTAATGTGGGCAAATAAATTGTTGTTTCAGACCACTTGATGGATAATCAAGTTCTCCGTCCCCTCACACTGTTTTTCCGGGTTGGGCGTATGTTGAACATATCAATGGTGTAAGCCAGTCAATGTGGTTGAGCTTCTTTTGGTCCTATTCAATTTCCTTTCTTCAACCTCCGTAGCTTTGATGTAACTGAGTAATGTATCTCACTTTGCAATATCATAGCAAATATACAACAGTAAAACATTAAATTTATTAACTAATGGATGTTATGATCAGACTTTTCCAGTTTGCTGGGGATGTAGTCCTCTAACCCTACTGAAATGCATTTATTTGGAGCTGGGCGTAGTAACTTTACCACTCAGCAGACGGTTATACTGTGCCCAACTTTGTTTCGTTGTCTTAACGATCATTTCATTCATCTCATAGTATTCGGAAGTCTGCATAACTTCTTACACCAGTTACTAGATCGTAACTTATGAACGTACTTAACTGGGACAATTTAAAAGTAGTACTAAGTTTTGCGGATTTAGTAGTTGGATGAAATATTGTGAAGGAAACTTGTTGATGAGTCTCAGTTCTCTCCTTCAAATGGGTTATATTTGTATTTCGTTGAACATGTTGAGCTGAGTTACCAGAAATAACTACGGCTTACTTTTGGTGTGCTATATTTGTGGCCTTTCTACTCCACTCTACAGTGTTTCTACCATGTTAACGGAAACCACTGTTTCAGATCTGTAATTACTTGTAACGACCACATTTTGTTCCAGTCCTTTATTAAAACATGTTCGATTGATCCACTCGTAAATCACTACCCAAATAACAAGAAAACTGTATTCCATTTTGGTTACAAGGTTTGCTCATTAATTACAAGAAGTCAACCAAAACATAATAACTAATGATAATTATGAGGATTACACGAAAACACTCAATTTTTATGTTTCCAGAGAGAAATTCCCAAAATACAAAACCGAAGCAGTGTAAGACCGGAAATGCCTGGGGTTAATTTCTGAAGAACGAAGTCCGAAATTGGAGTAAAACAAATGCATTCAAAACAGTGCATTTAATAATATACACTATAACAGTTAAACACTTTCAGTTCTCTCTATAACACTACTACCTGTAGGCTGACGTGTCTGCTAATGGATTACATTTAAAATACTTTTTAAGTCACTCACATGTAAACATGTGCTCCCCACAGTAATAGAGGGCATCCAACGTATACATTAGACAACCTTCGTCTTCCTCTTTCCACTGTCAACCCTTTTCATATGACTTTCGCCATGACGATTACCATCCGGATTCTGGAAATGTATCTTCGGTCTGCTCGGATCACATTCTAAAGTACGTATTTATGTCGTCAATGCTTATACGACATACCAAATCTGATACCAACCCATTATAGCAGGAACTTTGAAATCTCGTTCTATCAGTGTACTCTGTGTCTCGAGGTGACTCACTATTCAAAAATGACTGTTCAGCTGTCTTCGTGTAGTCAACATAGAAACGAGACAATATATAACACCTCTGCTTCCAGAGACTTCCCTGTTTCTTTTATGCAACCTCGACGGAATAAGTGTATCTGTACGTTTAAAAGCGAAGTAGACTTTCGTAAGTCAGATTCCAATAAAGGTTCGCTTTTGTGTTGCAAGACTAAATGGGATAGTGGAAACGTACATGATTGCCGCTTCGTCGTCACTACCTACTCTACTAACTGCCGCAGTTTAGCGAACTAGCTATAAATTTCACGGGAATTATCTTTCTCTCTTAGTGATAACGAAATGCTAAGACTTCATAACAGCAGTTTAGGATTTTATTATCCAAGGCGAACATAAACGGGCCTCATGTTCTATCGGATCTGAGACAAATAACAGTAACTGGTTGGTGATACGTTATCCTGGCAGTGGTTTGTTCCTGGTAAACACCCGTTTTATCATCAAGGAAAGATTTCATGCGACATGTTGACCTTCGAAATTGCCTCGTTATTACATGGGAAATGCATATTTGTAATTATTTACGGCCGAGCAGGCCTGATAAATGACTTCCTCTCACTGCTTAGACTCAAATTAGGCTATAGTGTAGAAAAACGCTGTCTGAATCTTTTTGAGTCCAGAAAGGCAACCATGGGATGACCGTTTCGCTCTCTCGTGCTTCAGCTTTTACGTAAGCTTCATTCTTAAACGTACAAGGCTTACAAATAAAAACACAATATCCTGCATCACATTTAAAGAAGTTAACTTTTCAGATTCGCTGTGTATTCACTTCGCGACCCCTAAAAATTGATATCTGACGATTGCTAATTACAGCTAATCAGGGCTTCCATCGCATCATACCACACTATCACTGCATAAACTCTTCCCCTAACATTGAATCATACTACATTATTGGGTTGTTTTTCGGTTTTTCTGAAATGCACATATTACCGTTTATGCTTATTTTATCTCATAAACTGACTAAATAAATCCCTCGCACACTTTACGTTTATTTCTTTCCTTTTTTCATCCAAGTCAACTCAGTATTCTTCTAAATACCACAGAAACTGTTTAGGTATAGTGAATAGTAGGTAAACACCATTACAACTTGTGCGTTATCACATTTTTGAAGATACTTCAAATGGCTTCTTTACAACGTATATATACCAGTAGGCTGTTCACGAATAATACTAATGATAATAATTGTTTGGAATCCAGACTGATGATTAAAATGTACGAAGGCCATTTCGTTTGGTTCAGTCAGTTCATTAGGATTTAGTAAAATAACTAATCAGAGACGTTGATGTTTGCCTCTTGAACTCGCTTCCTCCTCGAATTATATTTGTTACGCCAGATTAAGTTACATAAATGTATCGCATCCACTGTGACAGAAAAATTTTTCAAATCACTTGTCAAGGCGGCCTGCTTGATATCCGAGCTACCTGCTCCTGCTATCTAGATGTTTCAACAAGTGATCTGTTCCCTTGTCTGTTTTACAGATCATTATGTGAATTATTTTCATGACCTATTCAGGCGCCTTTGTGAAACATTTACCACCCTTCGCTGTACAAGTTACAAAAATGCGTAACCGGAGACATCGTGATGGCTGGCAATATACATTAAACCAACGAATATTATTCAGATATCGACTTTCGAAATGATAATATTTAACTTGCGAGTACTCAATATTTATCGTCAAGAGACGGAAACATGCTGAAATATTTAATGCTGAGAATCGCATACTGTAACAAAAATCTAACACTGAATAAAACTGATAGAAATAAATATAAAATAGCAAAAAAAGATAAAACTAAGGAAGATAAATATGCAATCCACCAAATGAGTGAGATGAAGATCTTTTAGCTGTAAATAAATCCCAAA